GCATATATATCTTTATTCTATGTATATAAATATATGTATGTGATTTATTGCGTTATTTATATATATATATATATATATATAGAAAGAGATAGAGAGAGTGCCTGTCTAATTTAGAAGGCTATAATATATAGGATGTACCATAGTCTTCTCAATTAGTTAAGCTATGGTTATATACTTGTAATAATTTGTGACGCAAGGGATATGGCATATGTATAGAATGGTAGAAACAGATCCATAAGAATGCCACGCGAAATTTACTCGCTGAAGTATACGAGAAATGGTGTATAAATTTACACACGCATTTTCACAGTGGAGCTATATTGGAAGGTTTGCGCAAAGATATATTTGCAGATTTGATTCTAAACTCTTGTTTGTTTGTTGCTGGCTGTACGCACAAGTACGTTCTTTACCAATGGATTGCAATTCCATCGATATTGTCGATAAAACGCGTAAGAAAGTGCACATAAGAGAACCAGTACTGCACCGCCATACTACCAACTGCTCAGGGGTTTATAATACATTGCTGCACCATCTTGACTAGCAACTCCGTCACGTGCACACCATTCCCTTGCGATTCGACTATACACTGCTTCACCGCCAGTTACTTCACCAGATATACTATAGATAAAGTGTGCAGATACGTCATTCATATACAACACATATTGATTTAATTACATATATATTATACCACAAGCTTCGCATTAACAATACAGCCGTGGCCTGAGATCTGATTTCCCAATACCTCTTTTCACCAGCTGCTGCACCGAGGATACCAGACAAAGAGCTCCGACAAATCAGGAGTCAAGGTCAGGCATCTGGACGCCCAGATTTTAAAGCTATTGGTTGATAATCGCGAACAAACGGCTTTACTCACCGACACACCGGGAGAGCACAGCAATGAGTTGACCGTCTATGGTATATGCAAAATGTACCAGTCTTGACGTTAGACTGGGTGTATGCAGTATGTTTTGCTGACACCGAGTGCATGTAGTGTGTTTTTCCCGGTATTGATTGTATGTTATATCTCTGGCTTATATTGAGTATAGGTGCTAAGCTTTGATATGATTGTGCATCAGCTACTGCACACATCGGGGCCTAAGCTGTAGTGTGGAGGAAGGGGTTTGGTCCACCGCAAAGAAATAAACGTTTGAGGTTCGTGTGGCTTATTTCGCGTCGTGACCTTATACTCAGTTCATATGTTAAATCTGGGCTTCGTGGTGAGATGGTTCAGCTATCGGATTTATTGATGTGGTGCCATGGAGTTACTTGAAGGGAGTGCAGCACACAGTATAGACATAAATTTTGGGTGAGTCCAATTATCGCTAGCATTGTCAAATCAAGCGTGGTCAATGCCTTTTTTATCGCCGAGCGTATAGTATGCCGAAACAATTATGGAGACTGAAGTTAGTTGCCTATCGTTGAATATCTAAATCATGTAGTGCACGACACACAAATGACCTTAGACAACGAGTGCGGAGTGTAAAAGTTGTGAGCGAGGTACCCTTAAAAATGCCTACATAGGTTTTCTTCCCTTCTATTCTGTATGGCATTGCTTGTGTTATATGAATCAGCTACATATATGTGGCTATGCATGCACATGCCCGCAACATATCTGCATATCTCTGTGACTTTCATTCAGTGTCCATCTCACATTCTTGTACCTTCCATCTTCACTATCTATTCACCATAAATTTTGCAGACCCGGTAACAGAAGATACAAGCACAGACAGGGACCGTTCAAGCACCAGCACTACCGTAGTGAGCACACAAACACGCACACCCAGCAAGGATACCACCAATACTAGCAACTCTCTAGTTCAGTCAGCCACTGGCTCGGCGAGGGATACAGATACTGGAATGGTTCACACATCAAGAGGTCTACGCCCGAGCACGTACAAACGACGCAGCATATATAAGTCACGTGGTGCCAGGGGCGGCGGTAAGGCGAAGAAGAAGCCCAAAATGGCCTCACGAGGCACACAGACTGTCCAGTTTAAGGTACACTTGGCTTTTGTCAGAGACATGACCCTAGTGTGGATGTACATATGTGCTCGTATGTCCTCAGTGATTGTGGGCGAGAGATGTGGATTGTTTATGCTTGGTGATTGAATGTGTGTGTGTGTTTATAAACATTGATACATGGGTACGTACGGATAGGCTGCGCTCTTATTACTGGAAGATTCACTGTTATGAACATCCGATTTCTATCCATTTATTATATGATAATAACTGTGAGACACGCCAAGGGTATGAGCACAACGTAGCTTCTACTACGCGATCACTTGCATGGCAAATTGGCGTGTAATTTTGTTACGTAACCTTGGTACTGACCCCATTACATCGTGGTCAGAACACGAGGTATAATTTCGCTCAGTCTTAGACCATATTGTGTCATATACTGTCTTTGTTCATCTCTTCATTGCTACCGTGCACCTAAAGGGTCACAAACCCAATGATGGTCGTACACTAGCATATGACCTAAAATTCATGTATATACATATATCCATGCGTTTTTTTGTTACGAATGTTATCATATATTCCAGCTCTGACATAGTTTTTATTATGATTTTGTTTCAAACCTCCCACATTCGACCCACGTACAGGTGAAAACTGCGCAGTATACACGGGGGCATCCGTTGGGCTATAAGAAGTGGGTGGTGACGCGCGAGCTAAACATGTTATGTGATTTGTTCAAACTGCAACGAACAACGGGGAGAGGGGGTAGTACCATATACGGGCGGGAAAGCAGCCACACTGCTATATGTAGAAGACCTAGCGGCACAGACAGGCGAGGAAGTACCTGCTGGACGGGCGGTGCGAGAGGCGGTACTATAAGCATGGAAGACAGTACCAGGGACTCTTTGGAAGCAGCTGCGAGCGTACGACCGGAAAGTACCGAGGGAGTGGAAGATGGTGATGCAAGCGCGAGGGATAGCGCAGGCACGAGTGTGACACTTGCAGCTTCCAGTACAAATACGGATGACCAATTACGCGAGGAGTTGAAAATTACAACTGCAGATGAAGTTGGGTTGGGTTCAAATACTTTGGATAATCGAGGAACGGCTGAGAGTAGTTGTGCCAACGATGTTATTGGAGAGATGGGTAGGGAAAGAGAAGATATGCACATGAATGTTGTGAACAATACCAACACAGCGATGGCAGATACACGTATTGATGCGGAAGAGGTTGGCGATGGCTCGGCTGTAGAGAAGACTATTAACGCAACTGACTTAACAGGTGAAGAATATAAAATCACAGAAGATAATATCAACAAGAAAATGGATAAGGTTGGCACTTGCAATCGGGTAGAAAAGAGGAGACCATCTGATGCAGATGTCACTGGAGTTACCACGAACGCGAAGCGAAGGCGCGTATGTGCTGAATCTGAAGGTTCAGCTACGGACGAAGTCGCTGGTGGTGCGGGAGTGCATGGAGAAGGGGAAAGTGAACCATCACAGGCACAGACACAGGAACATACACCCCAACAGATACAGACATGGCAACAGACGCACGAACAGACACGGCAACATGCACCAATAATTGTTGAGAGACAGCCGCAGGCACAGAGACTGACAATTGCACAGAACCAATCGGACGTGCGGACACAGGTAGGCCCTCAGACACAAGCGCATCCGCAAATTCAACCTCAAGCGAACGCCACTCAAGATGACACACAGTTAGCATCGGATGCGCAAGGTGTGTTCTCCGACTCCCTTCCTACTGAGGAGTGTGCAAGTGCGGTGCCCATTCCGCTACTGCCACCCAACTCGGTGACTGTGGTTGCGTTTGCGCACATACTGCGCCAGCAAGTGAGCGAGAGGCTTGTACCACATCAACCACCTATGTCGATTTCAAGGCAACACATGCGAGTGCAAGAATGTGAGATCATGCGCAATTCGCAGGACAATACGCGTGAATTTGAAGATAGCGAACCTTCCCACACACAGCAACCACAACTGCAGCAACATCAGTCTGTTGTACTGGTATCTACATCACAAATACAGAACAAGAACAAATCTTCGACACAAACGCACGACCCTGCGCCAGTGCAGCCACGTGCATCGACATCACTTCAAGCGTGCGCACCCGCTGCGCCGGTGGCGACGAGTGCGGTAGTGCCCACACAGTCACAAACACATACAGACCCACTTGTAGGACATACAACAGGCACGACAACGAGTTCGCACTATCGATTATTGTCGGAACGCTTCCGTGCTATGTTCATGTGGCCGGCTTTGTTGTCCACGCTGGAGTGTGAGGTTGCTCGTGGGGAAAAAGCTGGGCATAGTACAGTCTCTGTGGTAGATTCGCAGGAAATGACACAATCATCGGTGTGCACACAGGGAAGGACTAACACGTCAGCACATACACAGCCAGACACACAATCGTCAGGTTCTATGCAAGGGCATAGAACTACGCAAAGTTTTGAACACACTCGAATAGGCACTGTTGGCGATGTACGCACACAAGCACAGGAACTCGCGGATACACGGACGGGAACTAGTAAGTGTATGTCCAATCATCAGTCTGATACAGAACTCAGCAGCAATGGTGGTGGGGGCGATGACAGCACCACACTTACGTTTGGAAATGGAAATAGCCAAAGCTCTATGGCACATGACAATGGCCTCGTAGGTATAGCGTTTCCTACAGATGCTGCCAGTGTTGGTCTGATTGCATCCGATAACACTGGTACGGATGGTATAGATGAAACAAATCACATCATTGGAAGAAGGAAGAAGGCCGCAATGGGAAACCTGACGCGGCGACCAATAACGAAGTTAAGGTCTGCAAAGGGCCCTAAAAAGGGGTCTGCAAAGGTGGTTAAGGGCAAGGCGACGATTTCCAAACCAGGAAAACAAGTGGCCCGACCTAACAAAGGGTCAAATCAGAACGAAAGCGGGGATTCTGCCACGGCACTCCGACCTACCGATAACAGTATTTCAATATAGCCGATATGGCGAAAGCCTGACAATATCACAGGTAGCTTAGACTAGGGCGAGCACTACAAGTATCTGCATCACTGAGTCGGGAGTGAATTTGGCGTGAAGCAGTACACAAGGCGACCAAGAAAATACATAGGGGTCTACCTCATGCTGGGGCATAGTATTGCCTGCACGCCCTACAACAGCAGCTGTCCAAAGCGTGAAACTATGAAGGCTGGCATCACATGCTTCATCGTCCAGTTGAAATTATGGTCAAAGTAGCCTTACGTCTACCTCCAAATCAAATTCATTGAAACTCCTTTGGGAGGGAGGAGAGTACACTTGCCTATGCCAATAAGTTCTGCACAGCAATTTATTTCCAGGATTAGTATGGCGATCACAGCTGTGTGTGCACTTTAGGGACTTTACTGGTTTCGCTCGAGACTCGAAGACCGATTCTTCATACAGGGGCGGGATCTCTGACAACAGTGTCATCGGAAGCATGTGAAGTCACGTAGCCGGTCAAAATACTTTGTGCGACGGCAAACATGCTCCTACGCGGAAGCTCGCAATGAGAAAGTGTGTGCGTTACCGGCCAATCTGGAGGGATTGATTTTGTAGTTTCGTTGGATAAGCGCACATACGTAGAAACACGTAAGCGTTTGACAGTATATCTATAGCTGACTACAGATGATAACTACTCCTGACACTGCACAGGCACATATCTAGGCACAATTCGGAAAATGAACATGTGAGTCTGTTCTAGACTGTGATACTATATGCTCGGATATACTCAAAGAGGAGAACAGTCCGAGATGTTCGGAGCCTTCAAAAATAATAATTTAAAGCCACGACTCGAGTCGAACACCAAAAACATAACTATTTCAAGAGTGTACATCTGCGTTTACTGTGGTATTTAATCGGTTTAAGATCAGATTTTCCAATTTACATATAAATTTCTAGAATACTTCACCATAGAGTGAAAAGTGATCGTATAGTTGTTGAGCCGGTATTGGGCAGACCCGAGCTGGGATGTGTAGACCCAACTGGTTGTTGGGCTTCATCAAGTAAAAATATCTAGATACTACGGGTGAAGTACACCCGGTATCCAGAAAATCATCTACATTTTCGAAATCAGACGTACTAGTAGAAAGGGCCTTAGATCTGACGAGGGCAAACGGGTGGCACAGGAGTCACGGGACTCTAGCTGACCAGCGCAACCAAATCGACCGATACTCTCATTTTTTAAATAGCTTAAAGGAAACGGATGGGGAATCGATGCATCTGGAAAAGCCAATTCACCTTGGTTTAGTAAATATTGCCCGGATTTTGAAATACAGTCCCTATTTCTTCAAAAATTGATTTCAAACGTTCGAAATCACCGACAAAAATTGAATTTCAGCAACGAAAATTTCTCATCAAAAACGAATATACAGTATTGTGCTATCTACGGTGAATTAATATTTGCAGAGTAGCCGTCTAGAAACGCGACAACTGCGCCGATCGAGAAGGATGGACTTTTTCAGAGTTGGACTCTGGGTTTGCCTAGAAGTCACCGCGACCAAATCGAGGTGGACAGAATAAACAGATACACGAATGACGAACCACAGCGTGAAAAATCTGACTGGCCTGCCTAGGCGGAAAACGGGAAAAGAATATCTGAAGATTATAAATCTATCATGCGATTCTTACTATTGGATGTAAAGCTTACCCTAATTTCCATCTTATGAAGCGAGTTTACGCAAAATCACTTGCAAATGTAAAATACGAGCAATAAAAAGTCAAGGAACCTCGTCCGTTTCTAGTTTTCTTGGAATATGACAGTCGCAACTATCTCGTATTTTTTCTATATAAAAATCAAGCTCAGCTGATATAACATAATTAAAATGAACTCAACAGAAGACACTAACGGGGGAAATCTACACAACTGTATCTTGATGATCCATGGTGAACCTTACTGTTCTAAACTTTATACTACATATTTAATTATAAACATACAATTGAAATTCACACTTTGATAGTAATATACAAAAAAAAGCTCCGTTTAGTTGGCCATTGTTGATATTTTGTACTTCGAGAGTACGTTAAATTATCTGCACGATCGTGTTGAACCCATGGAGATCTACACCCAGTTAATGAATCAGAGATCAACTGCCTCTGGCACGTGACAACGAAGAGAGTTTCGTTTTACGATGTTTTCATGAAGCCATGTGGAAACGAGACTCAGTTCAGTGTTTACACGTATACAGAATGAAGAAAAAAAATTGTCTGTTTCGTGACGAGCTAGTGATTGTCAATCAATATCATAAACACACAACGACATATGTGTCAATTCATCGATGCAAGTTTCGACACCAGGATAAAGTGCGTGCCGTTCCCGAAGTTGTCTTTAAATGTCTCTTGCGTACTATAAAATGGCGACGCGTGACTTAAGATTCCATCATTCCTCCAACGGTCACAAAAACATAGCTCAAGAATCATGATAGCACGTTTCCTAGCCTTGGCAGCTTTTGCGGCTTCGAGCTTTGCCGGTCACCAAATTGGGGGTCACTGGTCCGGAACTAAAATATGCGAAGTAATTGTCCAGTCCGATAACATCACACAGACTCTTCAGAATTACACTATCGAGGTCGATATCGAACAAAACCCTCTTGATCTCAGTAAGTTCACCTTCAGTACCACACACAATGAGTCGAACACTTTAATATATGCCGGTACTATATCAAATCCTGCACTGGCTTTCAGTCTTTGCAACCGCGAGATGGGCGATTTCGAGAGTGGGCTGTTCTTCAACTATGTCATCGCAAACACCTCTGTTTTAGTTGGCACTAGTACTGCTTACCATCCAGAATTATTTAGTCCAGGATCTACCTTCGCTGCCGCCCGTTGCTATTGGGAGATCGAATACGTCATGATCTCGACAGCTCAAGCCGTTCCGTCCTGCTCTGATGTATCAAATGTCACCCTCAATGAACCAGGAACACTCAATGACACCTTCAACGGCCCAGGTGCAGGCAACGACACCTTCATCGGCCCAGGTGCCAATAACGATACCTTCACTGGTCCAGGCATCGTTTTAAATGACACCTTCAATGATCCAGACGCATCTAACGGCTCCCTCAATGCACCAGACAACGACAACACGGCTACCCCACCTACCACCGGCGCAACTCCATAATATCATTGGAGGACAAGTGTGAGCCCTCCCTCTGTATGTTGGCGCTGTACATGAAGATATTTTCGTATTTAAACACACTGCGCAAGAGATTGGACTGCTGACAGAGTGCTGCTCACAATAGCGGCGTCTGTACTATTTGAAGCAAAGCGCTACCTGACTTAAAATATCTTGCCGAAAAAAGTAACATACCTCAGATGCCACTGGCGCAGCTCGAGATACCCTGGACGATATTATTGGAGGACAAATGTGAGCCCCCTCTCTATATGCTGGCGCTATACATGATGAATTGATAAATATATGTAATAATAAACACATGGCGCAAGAGATTAGACCGCTGACAGGGTGTTGCTCACGATAGCGGCGTCTGTATAAATTGAAGCAAAGCACTACCTTCAAAGTATCTTGCCGATGAAATCAATATTGTGTACAGTAATATTTTGAGGTTGCCTTCCCATTTATGAGTGGCTTTAAATATTGGCATGTGTAACACAAGATTTTAATGCATTGTTCGCATATATTTGTGTACTTCGCGCGAATGTCTGGGTACATGTTACAATGGCCGAGTATGCTTAATACACTATTAATAGTTCTTGCTAAGCCATTATCAGTGTGTCAGTTTGAGGTATTAGTAATTCAAGTGCTGGCAATACATCTGGAAGACAAAGCATCACTCGAAACAGCCCATTTTTATACAATTGCATACACTTCCAGCAGATAGGTAGTTTTAGGGATTAAAAGTTAAAAGTGTTAGTATTGCATCTGGAACACAAAGAAGTCCCCAAACGATCGGACTTTATGCATTTTTTGCATACTCTATCTTTTTCTATATATATATATATATATAGAGAGCCATGACTGCTAGAAAACATATAGGATTTGTTACAACAATACACCAAAATATACCAAGTCCGCTTGTTCTCCTGATGTGGCGAACAGGCTGTAATATATTTCAAACGAATTTATTTCCAGTCATCACCTGCTTACTTTCTGTATACAATGCACATATGAAGCAACGCATGTTTGGACCAATTCTTGCTATAGTTCTACCAGAATTAGCCTCCTAGGCTAACAAGGAAAGGGTCATCGCCGTAATGCTTACTATATACATTGCTTGTAGGACACAACACATGCGTGAACCGATTCCTGAACCGATTCCTGCTATAGTTTTACTAAAATTACCACCTTAGACTAGCAAGAAAAGTAATCGTGGATATCATGAAGGATGCGTTGCGTTGCAGGCTTTGTTGTCATCGATTAACTCAGGCTGCAGCAGCGGATGAGTCCGTTTTCTTATTCACAATACCACTACGATTGGCTATTACTGATCTTGGTCAGGGTGAATTATGGCTAAGCGCAAGTAGATCCTTTCACCCAGCTGCCTTCAAATCCAAAAATAGATGAGCTCATATGATTTCTGATTATTAGTGAAAAGATACACTGTAGCATTCGTAAACTCGCAGAGGCGCAAGCGCTGCGGACAAATGCACAATCTTCTCGCTTCAGCTCATGTCCGAAGTACTGGTATAAAATGAGCTAAACAGGAAAAAGGCGCCCTAGCCCTAAGCATTTTCATAGTTTATTTTTATCATTACTAATAGCATTGGAATTCCGGAATCTTCAAAAGGCTCAGTAAGCCAAGATCTGGCAGGTAAGCCTGCAACCATTGGGGAGACGCTCGTGCAAGAGTGCCGAAGTACAATGGGAGCGTTAGCACGCCAAACAGTAACCATAGCAACGTGCTGATGATTCGGATTGGACGTCGCCCACCTGACAGTGTCCAATACTTTTCCAAACTCACAGCCACACCGTGCAGAACGAAGAATAGCACAGCATGCGGCGCCCGGACGCCAAAGACCACCTGTGCGAGAGGACGGGTGAGATAACGATATATTAAGAGCCTCCCAATGCCGGATTGTATTGGTTTCTCTACACAAAAACCACCAATGGTTAGGTATCACAATAAGCGGGCGAATCTTTCTCAATTGATCTGCGGGTGCACAAAAGTCCATGGGTACGTCTCTAAGAAGAATCTTTGCGTAGTAATGTCGTGAAGAGAGACTTCACCCGATGGACAAATATATGCTTTGACACAATGTGTCAATTCTACAGTTGTTCTGATTGTACGCGTGTAAAGCTATCTGCTTAAGAGGCGCTAGTTTCTAAGTACAGTGCCAGAATATGCAACACGGCTGAAGATACAAACAACGGTCGACTCAATGCAAGAGTCATTCATGGATATAGAATCTCGCGGACAGCATGGGTACCCTAAGTTCGGCACAACAACTTCGCAGCAAATTTGTAGCGATTAATTGAAGTATCGTTGTATGAATCAAATAGACACCAATCGGGTGATGATAAGTTTAGACATGCGAACCGACACATTGGCAAGTCCCGAATAAGTAGCCCAGATAAGTCCACACGTACTGGTATCACCTTTGTTTGGGACTGCCTGAAGCGTGGGAATCACGCGGCTCTGTGATATAGAATTCACCGACAACGTATTTGCCCATGTACAACGAACAACCACTATGTAATAGATATGAGATAGTAGAGCTACAGTTGTACGCTCATATGTAGACACACACTTTTAATTCGACATCAACAACAACTAACACATATTGGAAAGCATATTGGGATACATGAACCACATGCAATGTATCCTAGCAATACCTCAACGGTGTACGCATGCATGGCACCGCTAATCAGGAACGCAGCCATGGCACTGACCACCGGCGATTCAGTCTTCTTCACAGCGGGCGCGCACACAGTGAGAGCCAAGACATTGCGCGTTATCAAACCCCACCGATGGCCCCAGAAATCCTCCGCCGACGATGCCAGGAAAGGATCCTGGAATGTCACCTGGACATTCAGCCTGTAATAGAGAGAGAAGCACTTTGGTCAGGTAGGGTACGCATGTATATATAATCACGCAACTATAGCTAGATAGAAGTTTAACGTACGTGCGACCCAAACGATAGCTATATAACTCTAAGGCATAATTTAGTTAATATTCCCCACTATTGAGGTCAGCTGGATACATAACCGATTTTTTTATTATTCAACGATCAGTATACTTATCGCAGGTACGTGGGTGATGCGTGTGCCTGGTATAAGTCCTGGAGGCGTGTGTGTTGCATGCTTGTTTATTAGTTTGTATGTCGCGTGTCATGCGTGTATATGTATAGTGCGTCGTGCATTTCCTGCGTGTGTGCTTCGGATGCTGGCTTTTATCGCATACCAAATGTACACACAAAAATATGCTTTTGAGTTTTACTACTGGCTCAACTGAAGTACATCTATGTATAGAGCATGTATGTAGATTCCTATACAAAACCACCTACGGAACCCCATCATCGATTTGTTCCCGAGTAATAGCATCAACCCAAGAGCACACACAGAGTGCCCACTCTTGAGACAACAACCCAACGTTACCATATCATTTGTAATTCCGTCACTGTTAACGGGGCAGCACATACAATCAGCGAACAGACAAACACATATAAACAACGCGTATATACCAACCATCTATTTTCAGCCCTCGAGACCAGCACATACACACAATTCAAAGCCTGCACACACCCATATCACTGGACGATAAAAAAGCGGTATGTGCAATCCATCACTTACGTATCGTTTGTTAGCAGGGGCAGCAAACCCTTCTGCATTTGGTAGTGGAACAAGGCCACAGTGGCGGAGTGGATAAAAAACACCGTGGAATATGCGACCTGTCGTTATAGAGAACAGGCATGGAATTGGATTGAGGACGAGAAAGATAAAGGGAGGTGAGATAAAGACTTCAACACACTACAGACTGTAGATATTGTCATTATATGAAAGATTATCGCTACAATGTGCTGGCGAGGGCCACGATGGCAGAGTAGAAATAGATACTATTTATGCGACCGGCAGTGGTGAACTTGAATAATCGAGACACACAAGGTTGAGAAATTGCCCGGTACAAAGTAGATCATTTTATCGGAGTGGGATTTGACCTGCCGTACTGCAACGAAACTTTGTCACGTAACTTAAGATTGTGAGTCCTATCACAGCTCTTCTGGCAGACCTCAAAACGAACCACTGTGGAATGCAATCTGTTCTGTCAGTTGCAAAATACTTACCAATAGTTCGATGGACAAAAGTAACAAACGCACCCAATGGACTCGGTAGCATGTAGGTTCCGAGAAAGCCCTGAACCTATAAATAAGCAACTGGCACAACTAACAATCACGCAAAATACTCAAAAATAAAACGAAGCCCGCTGGTTGCACCCATCATTTGCACAACGACAGATTTGCAATACTATGAATACGCATCCATACGCACACTCGGCAAACACGAGCATGACTGGATGTATCTGTGAAAGACCACGACACCTACAAATGTATAGTGACTTCCCCATAAACATGTACTCGAGTAGTGTATCGCACATACAACATGAATACATATAATGAATCGTATACACGCGCATATATACGTGTAATATATTACGTTGAGCTCACCTGGTGAGTGTAGCTAACCAGCATCTGATGGACCCCGCCGCCGAGGCAGCGCATGAGCCAAATCCACGATGTATTGACTACATACAGGTACACGGCCGCCTTCATTAGGCTGAACATACACTCCCTGTGCGTATAAGCCATGTGTTTCGGGTTCAAAAGGTTTCATATGTTTGAAAGTATAGCCAATTTCCAAAGAAACCAAAAAAGCGTGTGCGCGCCACCATTTAAAGTCTGTAAGGTAGGATCTAACCAATTACTATAAACACACTACAATGCATACATGTCAGTTTCTGCCTGCAGAGCCGCAATCTGTATCAGATCTCCTGCAAACGAACCGTAGCGATATGGAGTACAATCACATGAGAGCATTACACGAAGCTACCATATACCACGTTCTACATGCCGAGATAGAAAGCTCCCTGGAGGGGCAACTAGAATCAAAGACATGAACGCTAGTTAAGATAAGCGGTAAGCAATCAGATCAGCTAAGCACAAGAACTACATGACGTAAGGATACACTCTAAGAAACAGTATACCTAATAAACTCACCTTACTAATACTTTATGTCGTTTCCTAATTTTCGGTTCTATATACACATAAGGCAGGAGAGTGAACAGAGTCCCCTGCAGGAACATTAGGAAAGACACCTCCTTCCACTTGTCCTTTTCTTTATCGTCGTCATCATCGACTTCCAGATGCACGGACGTCATCCGCATGGACTAAAATATCAAAAAAGATTAAATAT